GTTTTTTCCATTCCTTGCCATTCCCGGCTAAGTTACAATGGTTGAGATCCTTTTTTTTTTTTTTTTTTTTAATAATAACAGAGATTAAAACATCTGATCAAATCATCAAGCAGAAAACCAATTTGGGATGCTATGCAACGAGCATAGTTGTTTCTGAATTCATGCCAATTGCCATGAGGATCAACCGATGGTGGAGCTAAGCTGACCTGAATCTAATTAATAGGAAAGTTAAAAAGAACTCAGATAGATTCATCTGGGTGCTCAGGTCTCACCATTTTTAAGGCAGCTTATAGGCATCACGAGCCATGAAATTTCATGCTTCAGAATCACCCACCATCCATGCGCCAATTGTGAGGAACCAGGTAGCATTTAATCTTTGATTAAGACAATAAATTTTTTTGAACCATCTTAAGACTATGTTTTAACGAATTTGAGCATCTGAAGAAAGTTGTTTATGTCTAAATTTGGAACTACTGAGTACAACAAGAAACGAAGAATCTTCAGGAACCTTTGCAAATGGATGACTTTTGGGAAGAACATAAAGGAAATGTTTTTCATTTTGTTGCATCGTAGAGATGTAGGACTTACCTACCAAGTATCATAAGCTGCATTTAGAAGAAAAAATGGAGTCTTAACACTAGCAATCAGGTGCTGAGGAAAAATACACTGTAAATCAAAGGAAATACACTATGCACGCACAGACCGCCCTGCAATATGCAGGCAAGCCCCGAGCCCCCCTATTCCGTTTTCTTCTACGAAGTCCAGAGCACCCATTTGTGTGTGTGTTTTTAACAGCTGCTGGTGAAAATAATTTTAACACAGACTTTATGGTGAATGATCTTTATAATTTGGTCCCCAATGACTCAGAATACATCCATTTGGAGTAACTTTTTTCCTGAAAAATATATGCAAAAATACATATTTATTCAATTTTTTGGATACTATTAATGTATGAGATCATATGATATGTTAGTGAATATGAAATCAATATACTTCACAATAATCCTTTTCTTCAGTTATCAATGTTTTATGCTTTATTGTTTACTCAATATTTTTTTTTTTTTTTTTTTTTGGCAGGCTCTAGAAGCTGTACAGACGGTGCTGAATATGACCAGTAATAAAAGAATTGATGCTGAATTACTAGAGAGAATTATGCTATAGGTGGTATTGGATTTGGAGGTTTCGGCAGCCAACAAGGATCGGCTTTTGGTGGGGGTGCTGGAGGAAAGGAAAAGGGGGCAGAAAGGGAAAAGACCAGCTGGGTGTTGCCTTTTTTTTTTTAATCACTTTTTTTCGTTATCTTGTAAATTCTGGAATCTTAATGAAATAGCCGTTTTCTCTTGTTACTGTGTTATTGGATTGCTGTTGTTCTTGCTTATGTGCATTATGGGTCTGTTGTTGGGTTATTTGTGCTCTTGGTTGTATGTTGAGTAAGGTTTGGCATGGAAGGGTATGGAATTGATGTTGAGTAAGGTTTGAAGCATGGAAGGTTTGGCAGAAGGGTATGGAATTGCTATTGAGTAAGGTTTGAAGCAACGAAGGGAGAAGAAAGGAAGGCATCTGCAGTAGGGAATTGGTATAACCTCTCTCTCTTTGTATTTGTGTGAATTACTGAATTGGTGCAGCAAGGTTTAAAGCATGAAAGGAACTGTTGTTTGTTGCACTCTACCACGATTAATCAAACCCTTTCATTTGGTTTGAGACACCCTCTTGTTGAAAGTGTTGTAGTTGGAGCTACCAAGTCAAGCCAACTTCAGGAGGTTATAAATGCATGCCAGGTTGAGCTCACAGCTGAAATTATCACAAAAATCAATAGAATCCATTCAAGGTTTCCTAATTCGTGTCCCTAATTTATTTCCTTATACAGGTCTGTACTTATATTGATGAAAAGGACAAGGTAACTCCCTTGGAAGAAGCATAAATAGAACACAATTTCCTTTTTATAGACCTGTTTTATCAGTTGCCAGGCCAATTTTAATGAATCAGAACACAATTTTAATGGTTTTGACGAGTACTTTATGAGATTATCTTTATGAGATTGTTTGGTGATTGAGGATATTTTTGTTTAAAGTTCTGAACAGATGATATTAGGTGGTGATGAGTACTGGATCGCTTAAGCGATCTTGTTTTTTATATGAATTATTTGACATATATTAGTCTTGGTCGCTTAAGCGATGTGTGCCATCGCCTAAGCCATCAAGGGTTATCTGCACTGGATCGCTTAAGCAAACTTATTTTTTATATGGATTATTCGACACAAATTAGCCTTGGTCGCTTAAGCAATGTGAGATATCGCTTAAGTGATCAAGGCTTATCTATGCTGAATCGCTTAAGCGAGAGATGACATCGTTTAAGCAATCGTATACTTGAGGATTATTTAGACACAGATTAGCCTTGGTTGCTTAAGCGATGTGATCTATCACTTAAGCGATCAAGGCTTATCTATGTTAGATCGCTTAAGCGAGAGCTACATCGCTTAAGCGAGAGCTACATCGCTTAAGCGATCATGTACTTGAAGATTATTTAGACAAAAATTAGCCCTGGTCGCTTAAGCGATGTGGTATATCACTTAAGCGATCAAGACTTATCTATGCTAGATCGCTTAAGTGAGAGTTGACATCGCTTAAGCGATCGTGTACTTAAGGATTATTTAAACACAAATTAGTCTTGGTCGCTTAAACAATATGGGCTATCGCTTAAGTGATCAAGGCTTATCTATGCTGGATCTCTTAAGCGAGAGCTGACATAACTTAACCGATCGTGTACTTGAAGATTATTTACACAAATTAGCCTTAATCGCTTAAGTCATGTGGGCTATCGCTTAAGCGATCAAGGCTTATAAATGCTGGATTGCTTAAGCGATCTTGTACTTGAAGATTATTTAAACAAATTAGCTTGGTCGCTTAAGTGATGTGGGTTATTGCTTAAGTGATCAAGGCTTATCTATGCTGGATCGCTTAAGCGAGAACTAACATCGCTTAAGCGATCGGTATTTGAGGATTATTTAGACACAAATTATCCTTAGTCGCTTAAGTGATGTGGGATATCGCTTAAGCGATCAAAGCTTATATATGCTAGATTGCTTAAGTAAGAGCTGCATTGCTTAAGTGATCATGTACTTGAGGATTATTTACACAAATTAGCCATGGTCGCTTAAGCGATGTGGGTCATCGCTTAAGCAATCAAGACTTATATATATTGGATCGCTTAAGCGAGAGTTGCATCGCTTAAGCGATCTTGTTTTTATATGGATTATTTGACAACCCCATATTAAGTAACATTAATGTTAACTTGGGACGTTCACAACATCACAAGATTCGGGTGAAAAGAAGCAAATTAACCCTGATCGCTTAAGCGACATCTGTTATTAACACATATTAAGGCCATTTATGGAGGATTATTTAACAACCTAATTCCATCAACACATATTAAGGTCATTTAAGAAGATTATTACCGTTAATTTAAACCTCGAATGTTCACAACATCAAAATATAACAACTATGATATATGACTAACAACCCTATGATACATGGAGAAATGTCATAGCACACTAGTGTGACACGTTAATAGAAACGTACCTCATTTCACAAATATGGATGGTTATGATTGAATAGACAGCTGGCCCACATTACGGAATATAATTTCTCACTCAAACGTTCACAATATCAAAAGATTGAGGAGAAAAGAAGCAAATTGGCCTTGATCACTTAAGCGACGTAGGCTATCGCTTAAGCGATCATGGCTTATCTATCTTGGATCGCTTAAGCAAGAGTTGACATTGCTTAAGCGACCAAGGCTAATTTTCTTTGTACTTGACTATTCCTTCTCAAATTCAAGATCACTTAAGTGATGCAGCTCTCGCTTAAGTGATCCAGTATATATAAGCCTTGATTGCTTAAGCAATAATCCAATCGCTTAAGCGACCAAAGCTAATTTGTGTAAATAATCCTCAAGTACATGATCGCTTAAGCGATGCAACTCTCACTTAAGTGATCCAGCATATATAAGCCTTGATCGCTTAAGCGATAGCCCACATCGCTTAAGCGACCAAAGCTAATTTTTGTCTAAATAATCCTCAAGTACGCGATCGCTTAAGCGATGTCAGCTCTCGCTTAAGCGATCCAGTATAAATAAGCCTTGATCACTTAAGCGATAGCCTACATGGCTTAAGCGACCAAGTTAATTTGTGTAAATAATTCTCAAGTACACGATCGCTTAAGCGATGCAGCTCTCGCTTAAGCAATCCAGCATATATAAGCCTTGATCGCTTAAGCAATATCCCATAACGCTTAAGCGACTAAGGCTAATTTGTGTCTAAATAATCCTCAAGTACATGATCGCTTAAGCGATGTCAACTCTCACTTAAGCGATCCAGCATAGATAAGCCTTGATCGCTTAAGAGATATCCCACATCGCTTAAGCGACCAAGGCTAATTTGTGTCTAAATATTCCTCAAGTACACGATCGCTTAAGCGATGTCAGCTCTCGCTTAAGTGATCCAGCATAGATAAGCCTTGATCGCTTAAGCAATATCCCACATCGCTTAAGCGACCAAGGCTAATTTGATAATCTCATAAAGTACTTATCAAAACTATTAAAATTGTTTTCTAATTCACTAATAAGTGTTCAACAAATTAAGAGAAAAACTAATAAAACAGCAGCCTAAAAATCTGTCAACCAAGATCCTCACTCACCAAACAATCAATTAAGAGAAAAATTAACGAAATTATATTGATTAACAGGAAGCAAATGTAATAAAGAAATCTGGAAAATGATAGTTCAAGCAGTTCTAGCATTTCCCAAAATAACAACCTACCAAAACATGCATTTTGTCTCAACTAAATACACTTTCAGTCCCTACTGTAAAGATTCCATGGATCTTGCCAATCCTTTCTAACTAAATACACTCTCTGCTACTTAAAAAACACAACCAAATCTATTCCATGCTTTTGTATCTCCACTAGCTTCAGATGCCTTCCCTTCTTCCTCCCTTCGTTGCTTCAAAGTTGTTGAACCATTAATAGACAAATTGTCAAGTCTAAGAGAAATCTGACTATTTCAATGTTGTCTTCACAAACTGCAACATGGAGAGCAGTGGAGCCATTATTCCTAGGTTCCGTGACAACCCCTCCATGGCGAACAATTTCTTCAAGTAATTCTAAGTCGTTTTGCTCTGCGGCAATACATGCAAAGTGACCCATATCTCCAGAATTAAGGTTTGCACCATTATCCATAAGAAGTTTGATCACATGTTCATGACCACTCAGCATTGCATCCCATAATGGTACATTCCCATCCGAGTCTGCCATATGTGAAAATTAAATTTAAATCACTTTTGAAATATTTGCAGGACTAATTACACTTAGCAGATGCATGAAGACAAGTTTAAATGCTCGATCCCAAAATATTCTAGGTTGAATATTATATTAAGTAATCATTTACTTGAACCATAAACGAAAGGGGAAATTTATCTAAAGTGAAGTGGGAAGAATATGGCAACAACTCAACAACACATGACACCTAAAAATATGGGTCCATAAAAAAGAATTACAATGTGGCAGGATCAGGTGCATATTTAAGTAGTATACAGTTGACTAGAGAAGCCTCATAGAAAAAGTTGAAATAGCATATCAGATAGAGTGACCTCATGACAAGGACAAGAACACACTGCAAAGAGTTTTTAAGTCAACAAACATGAAACAAATCGAAGATCCTAGCTCAATAAATTTATTGATATTATTTTGAACTAGATATATAAGTTGAAAGTGTAATTCTAGCTTGATAGATTCATAGTGACTAACCGAAGATCCTTAGATAGATTTGTAATTTTATTGATGTTAGATTTTGGATGATGCCAAATAAAAAAGTTGCTTTCCCAGTCCGTATCATTTAAATTATCTTTGCTATTCAACCTTTTAGCCATCTCTGACTCATAGAAGCTTTCCTTCGAGTTATCTTCATAGTGTGAGTTCACCAGCTTCTTCACCTTTTCCATCAACTTCTTGTCTATTCCATGGTTCTCAACCTGCAAAAAGCATTTTGGTATTAGAATGAAATGTTGATCAAATATTCAAATAAAGAAAACCCCATCTTTTTTACCTGAAAGAAGCCCCATTTCTCACAAGATTGATGCAGAAGTGCCATTGTTCTGTCCCTCTTCTCACCTTCGAGATCACTAAAATCTATCACAGGGATCTCCATTTTTAGATTTGATCAAACACAACCCAAGAACCTAAACCACTAAATCAAAATCATAACCCAAACACAATCTATTAAATCTTTGTAAATAGAAATATAAAATACAATGAGTAGATACACATACCTGGATGAAATGTCAGGAGGAGGAGGAGGAGGAGGCAGATCTTCGACGGAGAAGATGTTAATGGCTGAGGAAGAAGAAGATGTAAAGGATAAGGAGGAGGGGCTTTGGTTTTGCTAAGAACAAATAGCAACAGGGGGGCTATTTCAACGGTAATGGCGAGAGGGCGGGGAGCAATATCTTTGATTAGGGTTTGTGTTAAAATGCAACAATTTTAGGTTATTGGGGACAAAGTATAATTTTTGAAAGATTACTCAATGTCTTCATTAATCCTAATTAAACCATGATTACTGTTTAATTGTTATTAATTAGTCTTAATAAAAAAAATAAGGTCATTGAGTAAAGATTGAAAAACTACATGGCCTTTTAATTAAATTCAAAGCCAATATGGCCTTTTAATCATTTGCCCCTAAAATTCAAAAGGAACTCTCCAGAGTTCATCACATAGCTTCACACCACCATGGGAACAATCAGTCACTTCATTCCGCTCCATCGATCAGCCAGGTTTTCTAAGAAGAGAGTTTCTTTTCCATAAGATGACTGAAGTTGAGATCCAACATAAGAAAGAAAGGGGATTGCGTTTCAAATGCGATAAAAAGTATCACCCATGCCATAAATATGGTGACAAACAAATCCAAATTCTTCTAATTGACGAAGAGAAGGATGATCCCAGTCTTGTGGAGGGAGATAATATCATTGAATCAGTCAAAGAGCAACCTCAAGGAAGTGTTGAGTTATCACTCAGCTATGTCGTCGGCATAAATGGATCGAAGACGATGAAACTCAGAGGTAGTATTAGAGGTAAGGAGGTTATTGTTTTGATTTACAGTAGGGCTTCCCACAGTTTTGCTAGTAAAGAAATTTTTGAGAAGTTAGGTATTACTTTTGAAAAGACTCAAGCGTTTGGAGTAAGAGTGGGTGACGGGTATAAGGTGACAAGTGAAGCAGAGAATAGAAACGTGTGTTTGGAGCTTTAGGGTATTCAAATTGTGCAAGATGGTTTTTCATTTGATATGAGCAGCGTTGATCTTGTCTTGGGAATGACTTTGTTGGAGACTTTGGGAGAGACTACGATGAATTAGAAGGAGTAGATTATGAGGTTTAAGTTAGGCAAAGCAACAGTGGAATTGATAGGCAACCCATCTCTTAGTAAAACAATGGTTTCTTTGAAGGCCACACTCAAGACATTGCAAAGTGAGGGCTCATGATATTTGGTTGAGTTTGGTGAACTACAGAAATAGCCTGAGTAGGAGCAGAGTATTGATGTATAGTAATTACCAATCTTGAAAAAATACCAAATCGTTTTTTAACCCTTAGTAGGATTACCACCCTCCAGACCACAAGACCACTCCATTAGTTACTTCCCAATGCCCAACCACCATATATTAGACCCTATAGGTACCCATATTACCAAAAGAATGAAATAGAAAATATTATTGGGGAAATGATAGCATCCAGCCTTTTTAAGCCTAGTGTTAGCCCTTTCTCCAATCCAGTCTTTTTAGTTAAGAAGAAAGATTGGGCTTTGTGCTTTTGTGTTCAATTCAGGGCATTAAACAAGTTGATGGTTCCTGATAAGTTCCAATTCCTGCAATTGAGGAGTTGTTCGATGAGTTGGAGGAGCCACTGTCTTTTCTAAGCTCCATCAAAAATCAGGTTATCATCATATTAGGGTGTGTTTTGAAGATACCCACAAGACGACTTTTAGAACTCATGGGGAGCACTACGAGTTTATGGTGATGTCTTTCGGTTTGACCAATGCACCCTAAACATTTCAAGATTTGATGAACCAGATTTTTCAACCGTACCTCAAAAGGCTTATTCTTGTTTTCTTCGACGACATCCTAGTGTATATAGTAAGACTATGAATGAACATGTGCATCATCTCCAAATCACCTTGCAGACACTACTAGAACAACACTTAGTTAGGGGTGGGAGAATAGTCCGGAAACTGAATCGAACCGAAAGTCCAGTTTTTTTTGCAAACCGATTCGATTTTCGGTTTGTGAAAATTGAAAAACTGGAAAACTGGTTCAGTTTTCGGTTTTAGAGTAATCCCAATCTGGTTAGCCAAATCCGGATTATTAAGCTGGTTTTTATCTATAAAAAAAACCCTAGGTATAAATTAAACATTGCATTCTAATTTACTTTTTACACTCCACCACCACCACCCACCCATCCCTATTGATTCAGTGAAACTTTGAAAATCTAAAATCTCTTCATCATCAAACTCCATGAACGATGAACGGAAACAACCAATGACCACCATGGCCACGACTCCATGAACGACGAATGGTGAAAAGTTCTCTCATCGGCGAATGGCGATAATCTGGATTAATTAACCATCACAAGCCCATGAACGACGAACGGTGAACAGCGCTTCAGTTCTTTAATCCTCAACTACTCCAGCCTCCATGACCGCTAGTACACTGCCGATTTAGCAAGGTAAGCTGTCAATTGATTTCAATATCTGATTTAGCCCATTTCTTCTTTTAATTAATTTGTTATGGGTGCTGTCAGCTGTGATGTTTTTGTATATAATGTTTTAGATTCAACATTATTTCGTTTGACCCACGTGCTTACTACTTAGTGCTATGTATGTTTTAGATTCATTTGTTAAGAGTTTTTTCGTTTGACCCATGTGCTATGTATGAAATTTGAGCTGTCCATGTTAATTAAAAATACAGGTTTTGATGGGTTTTTTGTTTTCTGGGGTGGGTATTGACTATTGTACATGGTTCTTTTTGTTTTATTTTGTCTTTCCTTTGGGAAAGTTGCAGCTGCAGTGGCTGAACTGTTGTGTACCTGGGAGTCTGGGGGTTTTTTTGGGGTTGGGGTTGATGGGTTGGTGTCAATGTTGTAAAGTAGAAGAGATTGAAAAGTTTGATTGAAATCAAATGAAGTAATGGGTGTTTGATCCAATATTCAATCAAAAGCTAGATAGATATAATTCTACTTTAGTGTAGTGTCTTTGTTAATGAATATGTTTTGTTGAATATCATAAAGATGTGTTGGCGTATTTTGTTTCATGTAATCTTCAATATATAGATTGATATAATTCTACTTTAGTGCAGTGTTTTGTTTAATCTCCAACATGTAGAATGCGTATGAATTCTCAATTCTTAATTAATCTTGTGTTGCTAGTGTTGAAAATTGATATAATTGATCGTGGAAGCCATGTGTCAAATGGGACAATAGGTTGTATAGAAGTTGAATAATGTTGTGAAGCAAGACAATAATATTGTCATTGATGATTAAATGGTTTGTTTTGTGTTCAGTTGTGAAGTGGTCATTAGTTTTGTATGCTAGTTTAATTAATTGGTTTAGTATACTGATATATATTGTGATTGATGATTATACTTTATCTTTGCACTTCTTAAAAGCTTATGTTTGACTCCCATATAAAGAATACTTAGATGCTTGTCAAACATACAAAGTTTAATCCTTCGCAAGTGTACGAGTCGCAATTGCAGGATAGTGCACAAGTAAGGATAGATCCCATAGAGACTGGAGGTGCTCTAGTGATCCTAGAAACTAAGCCTTCTGTAAACAACAAGAATTGAAATAAAGAAAACAATAATCGACATTAAAGTAAATCTAAATCTAACTATATACAAAGAATCCTTGGGCTCTAACTCCATCATAATCATTAGGCTATGTGTTCATCATCAAACTATCGTTCTCGCCACTCCATTCTAGGGTTCGTATATCATTAGATTCAACCTAGTATTTTCATCATTCAAACTAGCTAGTGGCGTATAGCCTAGTCTAAACAACGAAGGAACCAATTCGCATAGACACAATGTTAGAGTAGGTGCCCTAGAGCCAATCAATTATTGTAGAATTGACTCTTTGTAATAATGTTCATTGATCAATAAAAAGATATTTTTATTCTATATCATGTAAATCATATCTATATGTATTGATATATGTCCTTAGAATGGTAGAACCATGACGAGGGTATCAAGTATTTCAAATCTTGATAGTGAGAACCCATTAGCACATAAGGTGACCATTCTAGAAACGTCCGCAACTCCAGTATTATTCTGACGAATGGCATAGATAATACGGTAAGGCTATCATAGTATTGAACGACCCTGTCGAAAGGCAGTGACTGATCTCACTTGTCAAGGTTGTTTGTTGACAACCTAGTGCAACACATAGGTGCTTGCTGTAGGCAAGTTCACTAGACTGACCCACCAAAGGATTCCATTTAGATGGTAACCCCAGTGTCTATGGAAATAAATCTTCTAACGGATAGTGGTGCATGTGATCCTTAGACTTGAGATCACCAGAGTGTCTTGTGTACCAATTGGTGTAGTTTGACACTAGCCCAATGCAGTTCTATTCAGAGCTATCAATGCGGTAATGATTGGCTGCATCGAGGAATATATCAAGACTATGATGGATCGACAGAGGATTCATCACTCCTTATAGGAGAAGTTATCTCATGGCACAATTCAGTAAATGGCAATGACACTAAAACTGTGGTCACAGTTGGATTGAGTTGTTGCTCAATCTAAGTTATTATTCCGGTCATTGGTCCAGTAATTGAATACATACATATCAAAAGTAACAAAGATTGACACTATTTATATACCTCAGTCTCGATGAGATAACAAATGATGAAAAGATTTGATTATACGGTAACCATATCATTGACAAGTAGCTGCTTCACTGAATTCGAATTTATCGGGTGGCCATGATGCCTTGCTAAGGGCCAATCTTGGTCTGTGTGTAGTGAGACGATTAATTGGTGTTAATTGCGATACTACACACTGCCGGTATGATAAGAAGCCTACGGGTCACACACATAGAAGATAATTTATTAATCAGTTTGTGCAATGGGCGTTTTCGTCTTTTAGGGCGAAAAGGTATTTTG